ATCAGTGAGATTCCACACCCACATTTAGAGTATATATAAAATTTTCAGGGGTGGCATAACAGAGCGGTGTTTAGCATTGGTGCCTCGCAGTGCTGGGGCCCTGGATTCAGTTCCTGGGGAGCTATCTGTGTGGAGTTTGCACGTTCTCCCCAGATTCGTGTGGGTTTCTTCCCGGTGCTCTGATTTCCTCCCACAGTCCAAAGGCATACTGGCGGGTTAGTGGGCTTCTGGGAAAATCGGCCCTGGTGTGAGTGGGTGCGCGTCTGTGTTTGTTGCGTCAATGTGTGGATCGCTGGCCCATTCAGGGTGTGTCCTGCCTTCTGCCTGTTGCTCGCTGGGATAGGCTCCCCCGCAACCCCAGATAGGAAACAAAGCGGTTAGAAAATAGATGGACGGATGGATTAAACTTTGGTTTAGGTCACAAGGTCTGCTGTCTTTATGTGTGCAAGTGTGACTGTCGTGGTTCCGCACGGCCTCATGCCCTCTGCCACCCCATTCCGTCCTGCAACGCCTGGGGCGCGAACCCAGGGCTCCAGCATAACGCAACAGGGAACCAGCCGCATGAGCTAAAGGAGACCTCCCCCAGCCCAGACGGCTGAGGTCTCCGCTACGCGCAGTGAGGGACGATGATGTCACCGTGTCCGAACTAGGTCCGCTACACAAGCCTTTAGGGCCACCATGATGTTGGGTAAATAGACATTCCTTTTCTGCGCCTCTCACCTGTAGGGTGCCTTGGCCATGTTCATCTTTCAGAGCGAAGCACTACAGTTGCAAAAAGACCGGCCAAGCACATGTTGCAGGAGAGTGGGAACGGTGTGTTTTTTACCCATCCTACGGGAATGCCATTTGTTCCTCTGCCTACTAACCGGCTGCTTAGCTTCCACTTTCGATGTCCAGGATCAGAAAATCGCCGAGATAGCTTTTTTTTTTTCCTCGCTATGTGTTCTGCAAACCAAACCCTGATCCTTTACAAACGAATCTGAAACTAAACGTGGACGCATTGATTCTTATGTCTCTGCCTTTGGTACTGCTGTGTCTGTGACACTCATATCACTGCGCTGTGGAAAGTACGTACAAAGCATTGCAGTGCTCCACTCACTTGAGGTTGCCATGGCTGCGCACTGCTATGGTAATAACTTAAGAGGAAGAGGTCTTTGTTGGTATCAGCGCTGCTCCTTTTCAGATTTTTTTAAAGACGGTCGTCTGAGTGGACGAATGCCCCTTTGCTTCGGTTTGACGTTAAAAATATAATGGCTCTCTAAAAGGGGCGACCTCTCTGAGAGCAAAATGGAAAAAAGGCCTCTCACCAGAGGGTGGCAGGAGTTCATGTTGGATCGTGGCAGCACAAATCGCCACCTCCTGGCAGCTGGCGAATCCGAACTTGAAGACTCACGAAATCCGCACCCCACAACTTATTTTTATTATTTGACTGACACCTGTAGCCCACACGAACAACGTTTATACAGCCTGGTATTTTACCTTGCTTACCTTGTGACGTACTGTACCTGGCTTGAGGTTACCACACGATTGCCCCATCTAGAGTTTTTGCACCTCCAACAAGCCCTAGCTGCCTACCAGCAGCCACATCACCCTGCAACTCACAACTGTCAGCCCACTGAAGCTCAGCAAGTGTGAGCCTGGCCAGTACCTGGATGGGAGACCTCCTGGGAAAAACTAAGGTTGCTGCTGGAAGAGGTGTTAGTGGGGCCAGCAGGGGGTGCTCACCCTGTGGTCCATGTGGGTCCTAATGCCCCAGTATAGTGATGGGGACACTATACTGTAAAAAAGCACCTTCCTTTGGATGAGACATAAAACTGAGGTCCTGACCCTCTGTGGTCATTAAAAATCTCAGGGTTTCTTGAAAACAGTAGGGGTATTACCCCAGTGTCCTGGCCAAATTCCCCATTGGCCTTTACCAATGACAGTCAGTTTGTGATTTTGAATTTTACCATTTCATTTTGCCACTGTCAAGAGGAGAACCTCCTGCCTCATCTAACAATAGGGAGATCAAAGGAGTTTCAGTCTTCATTACCCTCACCATGGCTGCCTATAAGACAGTTCTGACGTTTTTCTTCCTCCAAAGATGAAGAGTCTTACCAGTTAATCCACGTGGGCTAAATCATAATGAGTGTGGAAGGTTGGGAAAGTGTGCCTGCCATCTAAATCCTTTTGTCAAAATCTAGCATTTTATAAAGCACCATTTGAATCTTCCAAGATACAGAGTTTTGCATACAAAGTTCACTGAATAGGAGTCAAAGTTCTCTGTCAGGCAAAGCATTTCTAAATATGCTTATCTGTAATCAAAAGGGCCTCCGCCAGCAATATTATGAATGTAGTTTGGAAATGCTTGGACTGATGTCAAGAGAACAGCAGCACATCTCACTGAGGTACATAGGGCTGACTGAGCCTTGCTCAGAATCATGAAGCCCCTAAAACTAACATTTTACACATCAAGCAGTGCTTACTACCAAGGAACCAGAGTTGTGATTCTTAGGAAGGTCTCTTTCTTTCTATCTCCTCTGAAGTCAGGAATAAAACTAACAAAAACGGAGGTTTATACAAGCAATACCTGCATATTAGAAAGGGGTTGGCAAACCTTTAATCATCCCTTTTTACGGTTACCAAGAGACTTTTATTCCCCTAAATCACTACAAAATGGATGTTCTGTTAAAAAAATTATGTTAGTCTTATTAAACAGAACATCACAGTTTTCTCTACCACCTGTGCATAATGTTTGACAGGGACACTGGGGAACACAGGATGTCTTGCTGAATGGCTCACAATAAATGAAATCATAAAGCCCAATTAAACACCATTCTCATATACCAATAAAACATGAGTTATCAAGATTAATTTCATAGTGTTATTCATCTGTGTACTGTTCCTGCAGAGGAAATGGCAGCAAATCTGAAATCTGCAGCTTGGTTTCTTCAGATGTTCCTATAAGGAAGGCAATCACCATTTTGTTTTAAGCAACAAGTGCAGTGATTATTCTGGAGCTCTGTGCCACCAGACTGAGCTATCGTGACGCGTGGGTCAAGGGGAGAGCGTTTAATCAAACTGTTCTGCAATGTGATTATCAAAACCAACGGGACCTCCTGGGTCTCATTCTGAGGCTGTGCGTCACAGGCTTTTCAAACAGTTCAGTTCAACTTGTTTGCAAAAGTATTAGTTATCATACCTCCAACACGCATCTCACCCTTCCTCAGCTAAAGCTAAAGGCAGCTTTTAAATTGTAGCTTTTTGTTTAGACTACAAAATGCTTGGAGGACAATTGGATCTGTAATGGCAGCAACCTGATCTGAATCCAGCACTGTAAGAAACAGGATATTTAAAACATGCCTCATCGGTCCACTTCTTCTTACACCCCAGGTGCTCCTTTGTCGACGAGGAGTCGAAGGGCAGGTCTGGCGCATGTGAAAACAAGCTTTATCCTGTCCCCACACTGGTGTTTTGGGATTGGTCAAGATTCCTGCTCGGCCAACAGCTAGGAGTGTAATTTAGATCTCGAGCAGGGCTAATGATTAACGTCCGACTCGTTCCCGCTGAGCACAGGTGAGGAAATATCAGATGACAGTTTTCCTTTATGGCATGGGAGGGCTCACGGGGGGGAGGGTGGGCGTCTAACAGCGTCTAATCCAGAGAGGGTGAAGCGCTGAATAAAAGTCAGTTGTGCTCAACTGCCATTGTGCTGCTGCAGGTGCCACCTTCTCCGCAGGAAAAAAAGTGCTGAAGATATTCTCAGTTCGGCTGTGTCACACAATAACTCCACAGATCCTGGAACAAGCTATTAATCACACTACTGGAAATCCTCGTAGGCAGACCTTCAGACCATAGCAGAAATGCTTTAAGCCATGAGTTTTCAAACTGGGGAAGATTCTGGATCCTTGACTATTATTCTGTATAAACTGGTGGGGATGTCCCTGTAGGATTAGCACCGGAAATGACTCCCTCGGACTGGCGTAGAGTTTCTGTGAGACCAACTTTATTACAACTATAATACAAATGTATTGTTCCTATTATCTGTTATTTAGCATGATCATTTCTCACCAAACAGCTACAACGCGGCAAAGAAAATGTAAATATATTTTTGAAAGTTACCTCCTTGAGCGAAACTCCCTCAAACCACAGTGTTTATGATTAGGAAGTACTGTATTGTTTGTCACAGGACATTGGAGTCCCCCCAAACTTACTGCACCCTGGTCTTGAGGCCAGATTTGGGATTTTACCTGCTACCATCCTTGTATTTCATGGAATCGTGAGAATATGACAGCTCGTTGCTTAAACGTCATTTGAAACCTACTTTCCGATAATTTAGGGTTTAAGAATTGTAATCCGAAATTTTGTATTCGAATGTCACCGGACACGTCCTCCTTAAATATCCGTCCGGAGGAAATGTTCAAATATCTTGAAACGCATTTCCCCCCCGTTTTCGTTCTGAACAGGTATGCGATATAAATGATTATAGTATAAATACCACCGGCGGTCCACCCCTCTCACGTCTCCCCTCGCTCGACTGAGCGCCCTCTTATTTTGAATAAATATGGTACCGCTCATCTATTCATTCAAAGCCGGGGGAATGAAATACGCGAAGCTACAATCATAGGGGTGGGCATGGTCAGAGGGGCCACAGGGGGGCTATTGGCTGGCTCCCCGCTTGCAAGAGATGAGTGCCGCCAGCCTCTGAGTGAGACACACTCATCCACCACGCCCGCTCCCGGGCCTCACTGATGCCGACTGTCACTACAGTAGTGCTACATTCAGCGGTGGTGGAGTAGGAGGAGGAGGAGGAGGAGGGGGGGTGCTGGATAACCATGGCAATGGTGACGTCTTCTCCCTTGCTCTAATTGGAGGAAACCCCGTGGCCCCAGCCGCAGCCTACAGGCCAGTCGAACTTGCCCATTTAAAGCCCGCCTTCTTCCGCGCGCTGCGGTGCTACTGGCGAGCATTTTTGAACTGTAACGGTCGAGCGGTGCGGGACTCACTCTCTCATTGGGGCTCGCGCTCGCCTGGCCCCGCCTCGGCTCTCGTGCTCGGTTGAGACTGGCGGCTGGGCTCCTTTCCTCTCTTCAGCCCTAAAGCGGATCAGCTCGGAGGAGCGGTACGGAGGTAAGCGGAGGTTTGGCGCTGCTTCCCTCGTATTTTAGGGGCGCAGTAAGGAGGGTTGTGCTGGGGGAAGCGACGTGAATGTGCCGTTTGTTGAAGGGCTTGCGGTTATTGAACCCGATAACCGTGTGGTGTATCGGACCTGGCGTGTATGGCGGTTCGGGTTTGCCGCATCCATTTTGTCACACAAGGGGGGAAAAAAAAGACTGTCTCGGGAATTGGTTTTCGGCTCATAGGAGCCGCCATTTTATCTAAATCTGTGTTTAAACGCGGAGTTATTCGGATAACTGCCTGCGTGGTTCGTGAATGGGGTCGAAACGCTAAGGAGCGGCGGTGGCGGGGAGACCCGAGTGTCGTCTCGCTTTTTGAGCTGGGCGCTGACACAATGGCGAAATCGCCTCTTAAGACACGGGGGGAATTTCCTGGCCATTATTGCCAAATTGCCGGGGTGGGTAGCGGAGTACGATGTCGTGTCTCTCCGGGTGGTGCTCGCTGCTGCTGCTTGTTCCGAAAGCAAACCTTTGCCGAGCCCCGGGAGGGGGAGACTGACCGCCGCCCGTTTCCCTGCTCTTCAAGAGAGACGGGACCTGCGTGTGTGCGCGTTGGATACAGCCTCCCCGCCCCTGGGTCACGTTAGAAGTACTGGAGAGAGAGAGAGAGAAAAAAAAGATGGCAGGTCCTTTGGTGGTCTCTCGTCAGCCTGGAGACGTGCAGTCTCGATTCAGCCCGACGGGTTTCTTGACAACCGTACGATCGACGCGCACGGATTTGGGCTCGATGCTTGCGCGACGTGTGTGCGTGTAGCTTGCGTGCAGCTCAGCCTCAGTTGCCCACCTCTTTCCCGTTCGGCTCGCAGGCTTCCCACAGGACGTCGCCTGCACGACTGCTGTCTGCTCACCTGCTTGCCCCGCGTCCCCCCGTCCCCGGCCATCGACACCACCGACAGCGCTCAGGCTCTCCGGCGATCCCGGTTCCCCCCCCCCAGCCCGCAGCTGGTCACCCGGCCCGTCCTGAAACACTGCGCCTCGAAGAGAATATCCTGCCCTCAGCCCCACTCCCCCTCCCACACACGCACGATCGGAAGCGGACGCGATGGATAAAACGGAGCTGATCCAGAAGGCCAAGCTGGCGGAGCAGGCCGAGCGCTACGACGACATGGCCGCGTCCATGAAGGAGGTGACCGAGCAGGGGGCCGAGCTGTCCAACGAGGAGAGGAACCTGCTGTCCGTGGCCTACAAGAACGTGGTGGGTGCCCGCAGGTCCGCCTGGAGGGTCATCTCCAGCATCGAGCAGAAGACCGAGGGCAGCGACAAGAAGCTGCAGATGGTCAAGGAGTACCGGGAGAAGGTGGAGTCCGAGCTGCGGGAGATCTGCAACGATGTTCTGGTGAGACCCGCCGCCGCCGCCCGCTTTACCTTCAGATCACCTTCCCAGCTCCCTGCCGGGTCCCCGGACCCCGTGGGCCCGCTCGCAGGCGCGCCGC